AGAGTGTTGTCAAATTGGAATCGCACATCCATGGTACACATAAGCAGTAGGTGTTTCAACTCCGACTCTGTGAGTTGAAGAAGAACAGACTGCCAACAAAACCGAAATTCCAAAGTATGCGAAAAAAATCAACAGTGCACTACCACACAAAGTGTATACATAAAACAGTTGAAAACCATTGTTTAATTATACAATGGCAAATATTCGGTAAGCTTATGTAAGATTAATTTCTGTGATTAATTTTATAAGCATTTACTTCTAATTATTAGAGGGATACATATTCGTAATCAGCTGACCAACTCATTCTTTTCTGCACAACCAGTGATACCAAAAGACTTTAATGTTTGAGAGTTTTCAAAAATGGGATGATTACCATATTTTTATAGACCAAATTCAAGATCTGACTCTATTTAAATTTAACAGTGTGCATTTCCCTCAGGTTTGCTGAATATTTTCCAAAAATATGTCCTCCAAACGTTGTCAACACAACCTTTTTCGTTTCAATCTGCTATTCTGAAATGTCTTAAAATTAGGTTATGCAGTACAAATTCAAAATAAGATTCGCAATGAACATCAGTAAAATATTTTATGACAACTCGGTTGAAATCAAAAACTGGTTATAACTTGAAATTGTAATTCAAAATTTTCGGCATGTCAACATTATTTTATTAACTTTACTCCGTATAATTAAGCTCATGAAAGGCATAAATTATTCTTGTTTTTATGTTAGAAAAAAGCAACTAGAAATATGTCATTATAATAATATTTTATTATTCATATGTTGGTTTGCAGGGATTTGATGATTGGTTTCAGGATCTCATCATGAGCTGATATCGGTTAGAGAATCATTGGAAAACCTGCTGCCAGTACTGGACAGCTGTTTCTTCAGACCAGTTTGGGACTATTCAGCAGCAGGCACCCACTGGGGCTCGAACCCAGCTCATAATGAAATCCTGAAACCAATCAGTCAAATCCCTGCAAACCAACAATTGAATATCAACCTGATGCTCACCAGCGACTATCCCTATTCAGGTAGGTTGTTGCCTGAGGTTCTAGTGAGAAGTCGTGACCAGTGGGATACGTCAGGTTGGGTTTGGGAACAAATACTCGCCTGAGATGACACTGGCTTGTGGTTACTCTATATCGTGAATTGGCAGAAGTTGGAATTCATGGCCTGGCCATTGGATCGGGTCGCAGTGGCGTAATGGTCTTCTAGCTCGCCTTGTAACTCGAAGGTTTTGGCATGGGTCGAAATCTGGTGGTGGTCGTTGCGTACTGCTGGACTCCCAAAGTAAGCTGACGAAACAGCAGTTCAGGACTCACAGGTTTTCCAATAGTTCTCTAACCGATATCAGATAATGATGAGACCCTGCAATATTTTATAAATTTCAACAATAATATACATTTTCCTGTTCTATAAAAAGTAAGAACCCTGTTTTATGAATCTTACTCTATTCATTTCCGTCCCTAAGTTTATTAGACATTCATTTAGATTCCACTCAGATATATTAGGCATCCTGTACTTTTCCGAAATACTAAAAGTTGTCTTGCTACTAATCTGAGGTTTAACTGGGTAATGTGAAAATGCTGACATCATCAAAAACAAATGGCACCGTTAATCTCGCGCGGAGAATTGCACATTAAGGTGAGGCATATGTTTAGATTGAAGAAATTCACCTAAGACAAGTAAGGTTGAGTTTCTGGAATATAACTAGTCCAACTGACTGGTGTGCGGTACAGTCAGTAATCAAATTATTCATAGTTGATGCGTACTCTGTTGCTCTTTATGCTGATATTACAAGCAACTAGCTTGGCTCTTAAATGGTACCTATGAGTAACCGATATTTGGAAATATAATTTTAAATATGCCGCTGACTAATATATTGCGAAGATAGTCATATCATTCGTACTGAGTAAATCGCTATTTTCAAAAGTTGCTTTGTGGGATTTGATTGATTTCAGCCATGATCATGAGTTGACTTCAGTTAGAGAACCATCGTACGTCAAGAAGTAATGTACAGCTGTCTCATCCTCTTTCAGGACTCTTCAGCTCTACGCACCCATGACCCCACCAGTGATCAAACCAAAGACCTTCAGGTGATAAGGTGAACTCGTATATCGTTCATCCACTGAGACGGAATCCAGTGGTCTAACGGTTCTAACTTCTGCTAATCGGCAATATTACATGATCCCCAGCCAACCAAGGGTCATGGACGCGTACTGCTGAAGTGTCGCGAACGAGGATGAGATAGCTGTACATTACTCCTTGGAGTACGATGTTTCTCTAACTGAAGTCAATTCGTGATTAAAATCGAAATAAAACGTAACTGCTGTTTTTCGAATGATAGAGCTAATTAGGTGTATATTCCAACTTGTTTTCTTCTTAACTACGTGTTCATTGTGGTGAAGATATATGCTACTAATACCAAAGTGATTTTAAAATGCTCACCTGTTCACTATTGTCTGTCTATACGTTTCCAGCAATAAGTGATTCAGATGTGGTCAAAGTTCGTTGTATTTCACTTTATAACCTATATAGTAGCTTATCCTATGATTCACTGAGCTTGGTAGAATGTTGGTAATAATTAAAGTTACACTAATACTACAGAATGGATCTGAATGACATCGGACTAATTTTCGAAAGGGTTATTTAAACAACATTTGACTACGTGAATAAAAGATTAAAACGTAGTAAAAGTGGTGTACGTTTTCTCTGCATGGAACTGAAATTGGACGAGACAACTTAATAATCGATATCTACGCAGGTGATATCACAAAATGTGAGTTACAATCAAATTTTCTACAACCCCTATTGAAAGGTTTTTCCGATTGCTGCTGACTGTTATTAGCCTCGTCTGAAATTATGTTTTATTTTTCAGACTTCCGGACGATAGATTGGTTATGTCTTGTACCTTTTTTACCAAACGTTTAAGCAAGCCGTCCATCTATGTATTTGAAATCTCCAGTAGTGGCAAAATGTCTGCACTTACTGCACCGTTATTTCAAAATGATTATTATACCTCATCCACTGAGTATAATCGTTGGCCTTCATACTTTTCATAACCTCTTCAAGTTTTTTATCAAAAATGGAACATTTTCCTATAAATTTTGCCTGTAAAAAATATGTCTGGAGATTATCCTACGTATTCGTGTTATATAGCACCACTGTAGACAAAATCATGTGAATCTAAACTGTTCGATTAGGCACTTTTACCAGTCATGTCATATTCTGCTGTTATTACATGGTTGTCTGACTAACTACACCGTACAAATGAATTTGTTACCAAAAAGTACGACTTTGGGAGATGAAATGATATTTTCAGTCTTTATGATTCATTAAAATGAAACCAGAGAGAAAAGTGGCTAATGTTTATGCTATAAGATGATAGTCATTGAACCAACAGATAACAGAATGTACTCACTGAGTACTTTACGGTAAAATTTATCAGGTTTGTTGGGTAAAAATGAAACAGTCATCATGGAAATGGTGAGTGCTTGTGTATTCATATGGGAGAGATTTAACAGAGGTTGCCTTCTTCACTTATCTGGGAAGCATCGTTTCATTTACAGACGGAACAGACGAAGATGTCAAAGTCAGAATCAGAAAGGCAAGATACACCTTTATCAACCTGAAACCATTTTGGAAATCTTCCGCACTCAGCATAAGGAACAAGATTCACATTTTCAACAACAATGTGAAGTCGGTCAGTGCTTCTATACGGGTGAGAAACTTGCACTGCGTGTCACAAAAGGATTTCCAACAGGTTGCAGACTTCAATCAACTGCTGCCTTCACTGGCTGGCTCCATACTGAAGATCAAATGGCCGGCCAGAAAGAATAAGCAACAAGAAACTATAGGAACAAAGCAACCAAGAGCTGATCGCCCAACAAATATGTAGGAGAAAGTGGAGGTAGATCAGGCATACATTGAGGAGGCCGCCTAATGACATAGCACGCCAGGCCATCACTCAAGTGGAATCCGAATAGGAAGTGACAAGTGGGTCGTCATTGCGAGTGTGGCATGGAGGAGATCATGTGAGGAGAAGATGAGAGAGTTTGGTCAGTCATGGACCCAGCTGAAGAGGACGGCACAAAACAGAAGAAAGTGGAGATGTGTTGTTGAAGCCCTATGTTCCACTTGGAACGCAAAGGAATAATAATAATCCCTGTTATTTTTTTTGGAATAAAGTGTAAAATCCAAGCTATCGTAAGATTTTTCATGTTGTTAAGGCAGCTGAAGATATATTATGATTCATTCCCTATATGACCCTAAGGTAGGTCAAGAGTAGGATCAGTAGATTTTTACTGGTTCACACTAACCAGCAAGAAAATAGTTTTAAACTAGTTACTTACTAGTTATGTAAAACAACTTTATCAATAGCTCTAATTTCTAGTGATACTAGATTTCTGCATGGAAAAACAAAATCTTGCCTTCTCAGTCAGTCTTTTGTGTCTCCTTGGTGTGCGAACAGTAGTCAAGTGATCAGACGGATATTGTTATCTAGCGTGGAAATCCGTTATAATACATGTTTACAGCCATATATATTAACCATTTTACATTTTAAAAATTCAAAATTATGTACAAAGCTGTTTAAGCATAATTAAAATGTACAATTAAAAAAATTTGAAACAGTTACAGTGGAACACGTTTAGGTAAATCAAAGTCATGTTTACGCAAACATTTCATTCGCTGTGGTGGTAAAATTAAATTACAAACTTCCAAAATGAGGTAGACATGAAATTATGTATTCTGGTACTTTCAGTTAATAACGAAATGAAATAGCTCGTTTTTGTTTTACAGCATTGGATTTAATTTTAACAAAGCCTTGTCCAAAAGCAGTTATATATTTTGAACATGATTACTGTAACTTAATGCCGTCGTGTTTGTCTACACATGAAAGTGATGAATGTAGAAGTATCTTCGGAATGTGAAATTATAATACTGCATTATACAGTGAAATGTTAACTTCATCGGTAGTTTCATTGAATTATGAAAAACCTTATGGTAATGATTCCGCTGCTGTTGAATAGATTATGATCATAATTTTCCGAAACCATCCAATATACATTCGTGCAATATTCGTCATACAGCATCACAGAGAGAAGACAAAAGAGAAAAAGGGACTGTTTATTATGTACACAATCTTAATAATAATGAAAAGTAGTGTATGATTTATAAATGTTCCCCTTACGTAACACTGGTCATTGTCAATATTAATGCTTCTTTAGATTTCATTACAAAATACTGATTTTTTAATACCACAGCATAAGTTGGTAAGATTGAATTTTAGATTTTCCTGTCGATTGATTGGACCGAAGTGCTCGGTCTCAGGTTGACATGTCGGCTTCTTCTGCACATGCTTCGATGATGTCTTGGCATGTAATTCGAATTTAACTGGTGGATGGTGACTAGCAGTGGAATCCAGGATGCGCATTTCGTCTTATTTGGGACTCGTCGTCTAGATGTACTTGCATTCCCCGGTGAGTCAGTGATGATGTTCCCACCGAGGCTCGAACCAAGTGCCCATAGTTTCAAACGCCAAAGCGTTTTCCACTAGACCATTTGGGCCACGAGAGCCACCTCTTGTGCAACGGGTCAAATTAATTATTTAATTCAATTTGAGATTTTCCCATAGATTGATTGAACGGAAGTGCTCGGTTTCAGGTTGACATGTCGGACGAAATGTGCATCCTGGATTCTACTGCTAATCAGCATCTTTCATCGAAGTTGGTACAGTTGCATTATAGTTGTACTCTGGCATCAAAATCTTATGTTTAAGGCTAGTGAATTTGATTTTTTTGTAAATACAATATTCTTGTCTTAAAAATAAAGACAGTTTGAATACAACTGTTGACAAATGCATTTCTTTAGTGCGGCTTTATTAAGTTTTGGGCTCTGTTAAAAGAACTAAAAGCTTTGACGGACAAGTGAGAAAATTTCAAATATGGATTTTGAAACTGATAAGTTTCTGTTTTCTCAAAAGTTTATTTAGTGATCCCACTTATATAGGGTACCATGAGTAGGAGGAAACCGTCTTTTATAACTGGATAGATTTCACATAATTCACCATCATTCTGGATTATTTACTGTCTTATCTTTGTTAAAATGCTAATTAAAAATCCACGCCAATCTTCAAGAGTTTCTAATGTGGTACTAACGAGTAAGTAAAAGTTGTTTCCTCCGTAGTTGAACATTAAGTATATGAAACGTTAATTTCAAAATCCAAATTTGATGATGACTGGTTCCATACGATTCGTTTACATAGTATATAAACTATTTTTAATGTCGCCATTGCCTTATGATTTTCATATGAATCAATTAAGCATAAAATTTCAACAGATGTAGAAGCGTAGCACTTGCAATACACAAAATGTACTCGACGAAGGTTATCGTTTGTCTACACTAATTGGTAATCAGTCGAGATTGTACAACTCAAGAGATAAAGTTGCACCAATGAGATACGATAGTAAAATAGCAAAAAGAATTTAAAATTACTTAGCTAATATGATTTGCTTCTACTCCAAATTTTGAATAATAAATGCCTATAAAGGAACTCTTTGTCATTTTAGTTAACTATTGAGTAAATGATAATCATTTGGATAGGAGTCCAATAATAACTGAATTTAATGAAGTACATTCGGCTATGAAATTCACGTGCAAGGAGGAATCCCAAGACAGAATTGCCTTCCTGGATGTCCTCCTTACAAGAAAACCAGATGGTAGCATAAAAAGAAATTTGCATAGGAAAAGCACATGGACAGGACAGTATACACATTTTCACAGCTTCGTTCCTCTTAAGTACAAAAGAAATTTAGAGAAGACCCTCAGCCACAGAGTTAGAGCTATATGCTCAGAAGAAGTAAGTGAAGACGAATTAAGCATTGTAAATGATACTTTGATCAAAAATAGCTATCCCGACAAATTTATCAAGAAACAAGAAGCCTCTTTATATACGACTGTAGTTCAGTGGCGATATACCAAGCAAAACGACTACGAAGAAATTAGGAAATTCAGTTCAAAGAACATTTAATGCTGGTGAACTACATGACTTATTCTCTACACGACCGATGATGATTCCTCAACTGAAAGACGAAGTACCTAGACTAGCCACTTCCAACTGTATCTACCAATTCAACTGCGCTTGTGGTAGAGCGAGTTATATTGGCCGTTGCTCCAGGAACATGACTTGTCATGCTCAAGAACATCTCCCTGTATGGCTAAGTGAAAGTGTAGTGAAAACCATTAACAGTTCGATATTGGACCATCTGGTACAAACCAGCCACAAAGCTAGCATTGATGAATCCCTCTCTATCATCTACCGGGTGCCAAATAAACTGCCAAAACATCGAAGTAGTGCATACTCCAAACAGAAGAGGCTCTCGCGATTCGCCTCAAACAACCAGTGCTTTATGTGCAAAAGAAGCAAGTTCAGCCACTACTACTACCCTGGCCGGTCTTCAGTAGAGAGCATAAATTCATGAATTTGTATTATTATCTTTCCTAATTTTTCTGGCATTCAGTTTATTTTATGTTGATGCCATTGAGCTGTAATCTATTGATATTATTGATTCGATATTCTTTAAACAACATTAATGTTGTTCATAACACTAATTCATTCTTTGTTATGTATATATAACTATAGAACCTGATGAAGAGCCGGTTATCGAAAAGAGTACTCTTTGTTCAGTAACCATTCTTTTGAAAATTTTAATGGACATTTTCGATCAGTTAAATGATAAGTACTCACCCCTGAAACTTTGAACCTGGCTTTTTATTTGTTAGCATCCATCACATGGATTTTCTTACGGTTAGTTAAATTCTACATTTATACTGTTTTTTCCCTATTTTATTTTTACAGATAAAAATAATAGTTATCAGAGAAATGATAGGTTTCATATTCAACAAACATAGTTAAATATTTTCAACTTACTCTTATAGGAAATTCGAGTTTGCAAAGAACAGTAGGGTTGCTTTGAAAAATAAAACAAAATACATGCATAAGTAAATCTCTGCATGTTAATATTATTCACTCTCCAGCAAAATCTACATACTAGTGACTGGTTGAGATTCTGAGCTCAACCAAAAACAAGTGAAGTGGCCTACTGGTGTTTAAATCAATTCTATCTGGCCAACAAGCGCTAGCGGTTTGTGTGAGTGGTGTACACCTATTCATCTAAACCAAACAACACTGCATGTCTTTTTGTAATTAGGCTTGCTATCTTGACTACAATTTATGATGCCAATCAGATCACATTTTATGCTGTGGATAATTTCGGTTTCGAAGAAACTGGGGTGAAATTTCACCTAGAACTGTGTAAATTACAATTAATTTGTAAAAAATTGTCAATTTGATTCATTCATTTCTTAGGTTTGTGGAAAATCTAATTCAAAGATGAGTGCAATTGCAACTTCAGTCAGGTAGTTCAAAGGGATTTTCCTTTCTGAACCGAGTAAGTATCCAATACAGTTCTACAGGAAGTTAATCGCGATCCCGAATATCTCACAAGGTAACGTCTCTGACTGACACAGTTTCAAATCTCAGAAGGGATGTGAGTTCCATCAAAGTTGCAGGTACCATGCTGACGAGTCCCAAGAAGCATGAAACCCAGGTTCAAGGCTTCCTGGCGATTGCTTCCAACCATTCGGTATCAGAAATATCTGCATTTTATCTTTCAAACAGATTAGGTCCTACAGTAACTTATGTTTAGATAAAAACTTTCAGTGGGATTTCTTGCATTATGTTGTGAATATATTTATTTGGGTTTAGACCCACTATCTTCACAGTTTAATCAGCAATATCCAACTTTTAAAGACTTAAAATCCACAGTTAGAATCTCTGAGGAACTTCAGTAGTTTGCGATGAAAACGTTTTGATAGTTATAGGAGGTCAGTGTTCTGAAAAATATTCTTTTGTTTTTGCATACCAGCAGTTTTCATGAATTTATCCCCAACTCAATATTTTATAAGGCTGGGAGGTAAGTTATCTAAACACAGCTAAAAGAAATTAGTTCGAAAATGTCCCGTTTTCTTTGAAATATACTTTGGTTTTTATGCTCTCCAGACTTACCCAGATGTCATAATCATGTGTCATACAGACATTTTTCAAACCAAAACTAAGTTTGCTTAACTTCTGAATGACAAACAAGACAGCTGTGTCTTTAAGTTATGGGACAAATAGGAAACATTCATGTTAGGATTAATATTTTTTTATTCCTTTACGTTCCCAGTGGAACACTGGGCTTCAAGCTGGAGCTCTGAATTCTCGGTAGCAGTGGTATTTCTTTTACCGGGTGGAGTTGCTAGCCACATGCTCAATCTCCCCCTCTTACCGGTCAAATTTCCAGCTTAACGAGGTAGAGGAGTGCATCGGCTGGGAATCGAACCCGGGGTTTTGATTTTGATTTTCACTTACTGAGTTGAACTCACTAGTAAGACTACAAATCTACTAAATTATTTTATCTATTTTATAATTTTACTTCACTATTCATCCCCACTCTCCTGAAATCTCCACCATAATATGTATAAATTCACTCTGTTGTTCTATCTTTTATTTTATCTCTAGTCCATCTTTGCTTCCAAGCGAAATCTGAACTCTACCCCCTTGTCTAGTTACTATATAAATAGTTACTCTTTTAACACTAAATAATTGTCTACTTACATCATCTTTGAAATCATGTTGCCTATACTTTTTATCTATAACTTGAAGTCAATGTAAAAAGTGTGTTGAGCAATTTTATAACAAATGATTTATTTAGGATGCACGCAGTTGAAGAGAATCCACGGAATAAAACGAGCTCGTATAATCCTGCAAATATGTTCGTTCTTTCTTTATTCAAACTAATTAAAGGAACCGAATGTATGAAAACTGAAACTCATCAACCCACCAGTTCCAAATGTCATGTGTAACAATCTTTGACAACGGTACTCACGGATTTTTTTATTGTTTTCAACATAAATATACGCACATATGTGGTAAGTTTTCCAGCAGTACTGTAACTGGAAAATTACCCTTAAATTTCTGAAAAATAACATCTATCGACTAATTTTTCAAGTAATATTTTTCCAGATAATTTTTAAATTAAATTTCTATATATATTAAAGTCATAGTGTGTAGAGAGCACAGCGGTTAGGAAGCCTGCCAACCATGCACATGCTCCTGAGGTCGATCCCAGCCACCAACGCACTCCTTTACCTCGCTAAGTCAGGAATATAAGCTGGTAAAGAGGGCATGAGGCTAGCAACCCCATCCTGTAAAAATAATCACCACTGCTACAGAAACTTCAAGCTGGCTCTAGCTTGAAGCTCTATGTTCCACTGGGAACGTGAAGGAATAAAATAAAATAAAGTCAGAATGAATCACAGAATGTCACTGAATAATTTTCACTCATTTAAAATCAATGAAAAGCGTTGAAATTAAAAAGGACTTACCATATCTACAAATTGAATGTTTGTTCGAAGGGAACGGCTGTTTAGACTCTGAATAGTTCGATAATTATCAGCCATGCTGCCTGATTCTCGAAATGGTCCAATTCTCAGTTTCCGTAAAGATTTCAGCTGTAGTAGTAAATAATTCAAAAATATTTGTAAGTCTCATTCGCATGTATAAATAATTTATGCATCAAACCTCTGAGCAGTGTGAAAGAACTACAGATGATGAAGAAAAACCTTTTTTGGGATCTGTACTATTATTATAACTACATCCAAATCCGTAATCACTGCTTGATCTGTCCACACTATCTGAATTACGCGTCGAGCATTTCACTGTGTCTAGTTACAAACTCTTTTCCAGCAAATCTGCAGTATTATTTAATTTTGAATTTTTGTATCTAACAAAGACTGTCTTAAGCTACAGAAGTTACAAAAGGATGCATTGTCGGAATGATAGAAAAGAAAATGTAAGTTAAAGACTTTGGTTTTCTGATAATAACTTGAAATTAACTATACTAATACTGAAAACTGAAAGGCAACAGATAGTTGTTTTGCATTAGTTCTAAACCTTTTACAGTCTGCCGCCCTTTGCCTTAACTGATCACTAGGTTGCATGCCTAGCCTATTCACTTTTATCTGTTAACTTTTCTGTCCAAAACCAAATGTGTCCTAGACTCTGTATTTTCGTCATATGTAACTACTTTTTTCATCGAAACCGTAACTTTCAATATTTTTTCTTTGCCATACTGGCTGATATTTTATACAACAATACAATGGTAGTATAACAAGTGTCATTTTCTTTAAATAACAGTTTATTCAATAGTGAACACATAACTTTTCAATACCAGTAGCGTGAACGCTTATTTGTTTTGTTTTTTTCTTCAGTTTTATAGTCTTTTTAAAAATGCAAGCGTCACCAATATCTACCTTGGATACTACAAAGATAATGAGATTACATTTTACATATTTATCATAAAATAAGTCTCTCAATTTGATGATATTAGATAATTGGAGGCAGTCGGACACAGGAAGCCTTGCTTGACCTAGATTTCGTGTTAGTTGGCACTCACCAGTCAGCAAGGCGTATCTGCAACCTTGAAGGAACTCACTTCCCTTCTGGGATTGGAACCCGCGTCCCTCTGTAGTGCTGCAGTTAGAGACGTCATCGCTGAGCTATTTGGGCTCGCAACTGACCTCCTGTAGTCTCTATATTACTGGATACACATTAAGGTAAAAAATGTGGCGAAACCCAACTGTTTCATGTTAGCAATGTACAATTTACAATTCAGATTTGTTTTCTAAAGTAACGAATCCGATAACATTTTCTAACACTGACGGAGAATTTATCCTCAGAAGCGAATTTCGCCTGTTATCACAGAAAAATGTTGGAAAAATTGTTGTCTAAAGGACTAACCACTGTCTGACCTTTTCAAGTGTCTGGTTGCATAAATATATCTTCATTATAAATAAGATTTTATTTTGATAAATCACACAGTGTTACACAGTAATATAACCTGATGACCACGTTTAGAGCACAAATTATTGCCACTCATAATCATATCAAGTAACTCACACAAAATAAAAATAATGGTGAAACTAATAATAATAACAGCATAAATAAGGGTTAATATGAGGCATCTACAGTTATACCATATAAGGAAGGGACATCTGAGGCCCTACGTGGTATTCTCAAAAAAGCAGGAATTAGAGTGGCATTCAAACCAACAAACTCACTCATGTAGGAAAAGTTCTGTAGTCTAAAGGCTCCAGTCGGTTGATCCAGTTAAACAAGATAATATAGTTTACAAAATAAAATTTTACCTTGCAATGACCGTTAGGCCAACTACATAGATCACACCAGTAGATCAGGAGTAGTGAGATTATCAGAATGATCCCACGAAGATAATTAATTTAGAGAAAGACTCAGTAATCGCACTGCATGCATTAACAGGCAACCACACTAAAGGGTGGGAGAGAGTGAAAATTTTAAAAAGTAATATAGGTAAGCGGAGAACAAGAGGGATTGATTACTAAATCCTGGTTCATCGGGTCTACACCCAACACATGAAATAGAAGTGACTCAATGCAAATACCAGACATATGGAAGATATTATTACCACCAGTCAAATCAGAAGACGATAATAAATAATCTTAAAATTCTATTTCGATTCATGTACATCACAGCATTCTAACAAGTTACTTATTTTGACTATAAAAACATTCGTCTTATTTCCCATCTGATTGTAACTGATCAATAACACTCAAATTATTATTTCTAAATGTACACTATCCTATACTGATTTTTATTCAAATGTCTAATCAGTTCCATCCACTCATGTATATAAATGAAGTAAAAAGTTATATGAGTGACTTGATATGATCATGAGTGGCAATAACTTGTGCTCGAAACGTGGTCATCAGTTAATATTACTGTGTGATTTATCAAAATAAAATCTAATCAATAATGGAATTATACTCTACCACAGTGCTCAAGTTTTATACTCATATCAATAAATATATTTTGCTGTGAATTTTATCCTATTGTTTTAACCAAACTAAGCACACTCAACTGAGCAACATAAAACCAATAACAAATACAGCAAAACTTTCTCAGAGAGAATCGCAAGTCATTTTTATGATAAACAAGAAACAGCGTTTTCATGAATATTTATATCGCAGCTTACTTGTTCTTCTGTGATTAAAATAGGATGATTTAATAAGATCCATGTAACGGTTTCATGACATGCAGGAAAGGGTAAAGAACCTTGATAAGTTATATACTGAAAATTGGATGGTAGGATTGAGTTCAGCAGCAAACCATGCAGTCTTTTGAACTGACCTTTCAAATGAAATACAGTTACATAAATAAGCCATATGTGGTCGAATCTTTAAAATTATAAAAACTAATTCAACACACTTGTAATTTATATTTCTAATTTTGGATTCATGACACATATTTAAAATCTTAGGGAACCAATACAATCGTACAACAGTCTACAACAAAATTCAGTTGGCATATAGAAAACCAAACATTGAGTACCATCTACTCTTATCGTTCATATGGGTTCCGACTGCAATATTGGTCTTAGTAACACATCTCCCTTTTGTTCTATTTTCTGCTGTCCTTCTCAGATGCGTCTATGATTGCCCACAATCTCTTATCCTTCCTTAGCATGACGTCTTGCATGTTACCCTCGCACCGACGACCTTTTCGTCGCTTCTAACTTGGATTCCAACCGAGCTATGACCTGGTGCGCGATGTCATTTGATGATCTCCTCTGTATGTGTCCATATCATATCCATTTTCTTTTGCATATTCGTTAAGCATTAGGCTCTTGGTTTGTTTGTTGTCAGATTTTCTTCCCAGCCTCCCATTTGATCTTCAAAATGGAGTCAGCCAAAGATGTTGTTAAACGTCTGCAACCTGTTGGAAATGCTTTCCATGACGTACCGGCCAAGCTTCTGACCCATATACAAGAAGTGACTGACTTGACATTCATGTTGAAAATCCGAATCTTATTCTCGATGCTGACTGCAGGAGATTTCCAAAATGGTTTCAGGTTGATGAAGGCTCATCTCGCCTTCCCGTTTCTGGCCTTCTTTCACTTCTTCATCCGTTCCGGCTACCTATAGATAGGACGATGCTTCCTAGTCACATAGGTGAAGAAAGTAACCACGGTCAAATTTCCCCGTTGATGGTGATTGGTGCTGGTTGTTGATGCTGTTGCTGTTGGTTGGTTATCTTCATCACCTCCATCTTCTGTATGTTCACTTGAAGTCCTGTCTCCCCTGCTTGCTTCTTCTGCTAGTTTGTTGGTTTTCGCCTACAAGTCTTCGATTTTGTATGACATTAAAAGTAAATCATCTGCGAAATCCAGATCTTCTAGAATCTTCTTATTGGTCGTCCAGCGTATTCCTTTCTTCTAACTCCCAGCATACAGTCTGACACATTATCCAGTCCACTGCAATTAGCAATATCGTGGTACATGATAGTGGTCAGCCTTGTCTTATTCCTGCATTCATTTCAAAGGCTTGACGAAGTCTTCTTTTTTGGATCACCTGATACGCGGCATCGTCATATAACTGTTGGATGAGGTCGAGAAAGACTTTGGCACTGAACGCTACAGTGTTGGAGTGGATTCCAAATGACTTCGCGGTACAGGTTTGACTGCTATTCTATGCTCTGTTCGATGATGCATAAAGTTGCAACTTGGTCAGCATATGATTTGCCTTTCCTGAAAGCAGCTGGTTCCGGGTGGACAGAGTTCTGCATCCAGTGCACTCAAGGATGATTTGACATAGAATTTTACTTGGTGTGGACGAGAGCATTATTCCGAGCCAGTTCTTGAAGAGGCCCTTCTCTGGTAGCTTGACAAGTTGGTTGACCTTTCTTCTAATCGGTAGACACCTTCTCTTCATTCTTAATATTTTGCAATATTGGAGTCAGCGTATCGGTTGCAGTCTCTAGGTCCATTTTTAGTGCTTCGGGGGCGATTTAGTCTGATCCTATTGCCTTCCTGGTTGGCTTCCAGTAGCTTCACTACATTCAAAAATTCTGTTTTCGTTGGAAGATTGTTGTCCACTGGCAGTTCTGTGACTGCTGTTGGTGGCGTTTCTTGGCAAGTTTCAAGTGATGGGCGATTGAAGAGTCCTTTGAACTGATCAGCCCAACGTTTGATTTGTTCCTCCCCCTTGGTAATTAGATCCGCTTGGACATATTTCATAGATCTCATCATCTGGGTTGATCTCTTCCCAGATAAATGTCTAATTATATGATATAATGTTCTGAGGTCTCTTTTACCTGCGACCTGCTTGTTTTGCTCCAGCTGCCAGCCACTGTGCTGTAGAATTGTCTTTTGTCTTTCCTAGCACTCTTCTACATTTCTTTATTCAGTGCAGTGTACATTAAACTTAGCTTCTCTATTTGTTTTCCAGCTCTGCATTAATCTAGTCTATGTTTCACAACCCTCCTCTCTTCTATTTGCTTCCTGGTATCCGCTAACATCCACTCCTTGTCTTATCTCTTCTGTCTCCCTTGAAAAGTTATACACGTTTCCACAAGCATCACCCTCGTAGAGTGCCAGTGTTCTTCTACGGACGTTTACTCATTTAGACCACGTAGTGTCTCTGACTTTGCTCTGATAGCTGTAGTAAAGATTTCTTTAATAGTTGCGTCCTTCAGTTCCCGAGTGTTGAACTTGGATTTTGGTCTGCTTCCAGCTGTTTTGAGGGATATCAGCCTCATCTTGAAGGTTCCTTGAACTAGACAGTGATCTGAACCCACACTGTAGTCAGCAGAATGAAAAAATAAAACTGGTTGCATAAACACAGGTCTCATACTTAAGGTTATCCTGCAATAGTCCCTTAATAATAAACTGCTGATTTCTATAGCACAAAAATCCTTAACTTTCACAAAAAATCAGTCCTTATTTATCTCGAAAAGTTGGTAAATTTGTAAGCTGCTAAAGCAACAATATAAACTCATGCACATCGAAATGCTTGACTATTTATATGTTGTCAGAGAAATGCATGATATAAATTCACACCGATGATGTTTTTGAGAAGACCAAATTTGCTGAGTATATGCATCAAATAAATCTTTATAAACTGCAAAATCCAGACAGTATTCATGTAGTGAGAAGCTGTATTTAGCCGGATGTACATACAATTCTAATATTCATAAAACAGGAGACAGTGAAAAATGAGAACAAACGAGACATTTAAATTTTCAGCACTTGTAAAAATATGCATTACATTACACATGAATGTACTCAAAAATTACTAAGTTTCAAAAACGATTTGACTGTATTTGAAATAAGCAATACCTTTTACAATGGTGGTTGATTCCTCTCTATCTTTTTTTGCATAATAGAAAGTATTATATGGCTGCTGTCACTACTACACAAGAGTAAAAAGAGACAGAAACTTAATGAAAATCTGTCTGCTACTGATAACTTGTCTACCGCAAAAAGAAATATATTTCGAATGCAAAATTTTGACGAGGTAGAAAAGTAATCATAAACTAATATTAAGGCAAAAATACGATAGACAGAAGACAAGTAGTTCAGCGAAGAGTTTCTTTTCAGCGAATTCATTTTCATAGCTGTACAATCGTAAATATATGTGGTTGTTTTGTATGTTAGTGTACATTAAATTTGTCAAACGAAAATACAATTAGTAAGTTCAGATGAATCGGATGTTGAAATAAGAAGATAGTAACAAAAGTGATGAGTTGTCACAAACGATTGTTAAAGAAGAGTTACGTAATAACGTGAATAGTTTGATGAAAGAGTTGTACTCAGGGTGTACATGGAAACAAAATAACATACCGAATTACACAAGGGTTTTAAGTAGAAAAATAAGCATACAAACAAAATTTAAGTCAAATCAAACAAACAAACAAAGAAAAGTTAAGTCAAATCAACAGAGGTTTTACCATGGGAGTAAAGTAGTTGAATAATTTTCTTTTGTATGCACAGTTCTGGTTCCTCCAACTGAATGGCTAGAGCTTCTGCGATACAAAGAAGACGGAATCGTATTGTCTTAAACAGGTTGTTCTTCACTTTGTAGATTAATTTGAAGGAGGCGTTCGTTGAGATGGAATGACCAGTGTTGACGAGGTGTTCTATTATTGCACTCCTTATGCAGCCATTACTTCCTTTCTGCAGGCACGCTCGATAGTGTTCTTTGACCCTTTTTGACAGGATACGCGTTGAACGACCGATGTACCTGGCTCCACAGCAAGAGGTGAACTAATATATACACACTGAAGTGGTAAGGTACGGGATCTTGTCTTTTGGGCTTCTGCAGATCAGCGGGCGACTAGAGAACACTACTCTCAATGTTGCCGCGAAGAAAGTTCTTATTAAGGAGGTGGAGATTCTCCTCCTAAGGACGTCACTGAGTAGGTCTCCTTTGAAGTCGAGGTTCATATAAAGTATCTTTTTTGGCATAGATGCTGCTTCTTGCTTTTGGATACACATAGTCTGTATGAGTAAGTTATTGCCTAGACACCAACAAGAAGATCTTGTGGTATGCTTGTCAAAAGGGGAAATTATACGTACCAATAGTTCAATTCTTGAGCATCGTGTTCTTACAAATCACTCCAAATCAATAGAAAAATCTTTCAAAGCGATGTGTAAGGTAAGTTTAAGTCTTTCGCAGAGTTCCCTGGTACATCATCTGTGCACAGCAAAAACTATCACTATACATAAGGAGAACCATGAAGTGTGTATACAGAAGCGTTCCATCCAATCCTTTTTACTACGGTGATATTTAGCTTTCTTAAACTCACACAAAAACTTGGTATGTAATCTGTATTCATCCAAATTTTTTCGTTCTCCCCGTGTCTTTCTTTCAAACTCCTAACTTTAAAATATACTTTATAAATTTCATTGAATTTTAGATTTTCCCATCGATTGATTGAACCAAAGTGCTAGGTCTCAGGTTGACATGTCGGCTTCTTGTGCATATGCTTCAACGATGTCTGCGCACGTAATCAGAATTTAATTGGTGGATGGTGACTAGCAGTTGAATCCAGGATGCACATTTCGTCTTATTTGGGAGTCCTCATCTGGATGTACCTCCATTCCCCAGTGACATTTAAACCTGAGACCGAGCACTTTGGTCCAATCAGTCAACGGGAAAATCTAAAATTCAATTAAATAATTAATATGAACCATTGCACAAGAGGTGGCCCGAGTGGCCCGAGTGGTCTAGTGGATAACGCTTCGGCGTTTGCAACTATAGGCACTGGGTTCGAGCCTCGGTGGGGACATCATCACCCACTGGGGAATGCAGGAACATCCAGCTAGCAAACAAGTCCAAAATAGGACGAAACGCGCGTCCTGGATTCCACTGCTAGTCACTATCCACCAATTAAATACTTTATAAATATTCTGAATCTTCTGCTTTTTTGAACATTGTTCTTGTTTCCAGAGGCTTGTAATTTTCAATTTTTAGTGGTTGTCATTTCTCAGTGATGCTCATCACTTACTGATTTTCTTTTAGATTACATAATTTATCACCGTGTTTGAAAAATAAATTCACATGTTTCGTTACCAACTGTTATGAATGATCGACCTTACAGACAATTCCTTGGTCTTTTACAATACTGTTTTGTAGTGGACTTGTGGAAAGAATATTATTTTGCAGACCTGGGTCTTTTGATTTATGCCACATAGGTATTTTTCATATTTAAAAAATGGTATATTCAAACTCAGTTCTGAAAAATTCATTACATTAGAATCCAGTAGAATGAGAAGTAGATATATGACCCTTTTACAAAAAACTACTCTTCTGCAATTTCCTTTAATGATTTTTCACTGGATAATTTCATGTTCAGGAAAAACTTTCGGAAGGTTATTTTTTCGAAATAATCACGTTTTTATAAAACAGCATAAAAGTCTTTAAAATTTTTGGCTACTTAAAAGGTGCTAATCAAAACTTTCAATGGAATTTAACAGTGAGATTAAACTACTGTATAGGTTCAACACATAATCCCATATTATAATCAGTTTCGTGGAAGTTTTTGGTCAATAGGTGTGCAACTACAAATGCGACTTAAGAAATCAGAATCAATTCTCTACACAAACATCATCATATGTAAACAAAATAGAGTTATATTGTAGTCAAAGAGTAATTTACCTTTAAGCTGAACATGTTCTGTTGCGGACAGTAAAGCTGCCATACCAGGTGTTGACCGATCACCGATCTAAAAGATTTCAGACAAATTTAGATATAAGATACCAAACACTTTTAATTTTGCTCCTAAAGTAGCTTATTACGGTAGTACTTTAACGATTAAGACCCTCAAGAGTTGGTTTGTAAGGACTAGATTTGTTGTTTACGAGTTTCGACCACGGATTAATATCATTTAGAGAACCATTGAAAACCGGCAGGGAGTACTGGACAGCTGTTTTATCCTAGTTTTTGAGAATCATCGGCAGTACTCACCCAACACCAGAGTTCGAGCCCAGGATCTTCCGGTTAAAAGCAAGCAAGCCCATATATCATTCAGCCACTGGGACCCGATTAAAATTCTGTTTAAAATAGCAAGGATGATCTGTGGATTAGGAAGAGAACGGAAATTGTATGATGTTCTTAAGGATTCGAAATTTGTTTGTAGTTTTCTCATCACTAGGCTTGTTAATATCTTCATCAGCAATATAAAATTATGGATAACAATGAAAGATTAAGGTTACTTTCACGAATTGAATGACAGCGTGATGATAGTTATTTCGCCTTAACACGACAATATATTCATTATATTTCAACAAATTTCTTCGGATTCATTCACCTTTCAAAATATTAAACATTCACATAACACAATTTAGGCGAACAAGCAAGCAACATTATGTTAACCTCAGGGCATCATCGAAGCATCTACACTAGTGGCCAACCTGTCAACACAGACCGAGCATTTCGGTCACATTCAGTCAGTAAAACGGGGATAAAATATCAACCAAAACAAACTGCATTGCTTTCAGTAAAATCCTTTCAACTTTACTGTTGAATGATTAAAGTTACAAATAAATACTAAAATATTAGCCAGTTATACATGATAAAGAAAATAGGATATAAAATGTGCAATTAATACTAATAATAAAATTAGTAATAACGATGAAAAATGGACCGATTTGTGATGATAATGATAGCAATGAAAAAGTTGACTATAAAACAGATTAAGGTTAAGTCGTAGAAAACAAATAATTAGATGAATTAATGCTAAATCCTAAGGAAAGTGGATAAACTAAGTTTTAATGTTGATTCAGTAAACCTAAGGATGAGTTAGCAAAAACTGGTGGGAAAATAACTAAAAATGTGTATAGGATAGTGAGAGTATAATCCGTTGGTTAGGTCTTTACTGGCCAGCGGAAGCATAATGGCTGTACGAACTTCTTCTGAATGCATGGTTTAAGCTTAATAGTTCGAATACAAATCACATAAGCTGTATGCAGTAGACAAATATGAAGGTTCCCAATGGTTGGAGGCAGTAGGCGGGAAGCCTTGAACCGGACCTCCTCTAGGACTATACTAGGTACTTTGATTGGATACCAGTTAGTAACTAGTGTCATACGTCCGGTCCTTTGTTTGATGCAGACTCAATTCTGCCAGTCAGGTGATCAGAATTTCAGAAGGGATATGAGTTCTTTCTTTGATACAGATACATCTTGCTGACGAGTGTCAACTAGCACGAAACCTAGGTTCAAGGCTTCGTGTAGATTGTCTCCAACCATCTAATACAATAATTACAATTCACAGTGCACCATAATGGTGAGCCACCTAGCATGCTGGCAACATTGTAAACTTGACTGATAGACTTTAATCAAGACCAAAGATAGGACTAGACCCAGTCAAAATATGCAGGTTACTAAGAAGATTCGATGGAATAGGATGAATCACCTTGACCATTTTCATTTTATTCAATAGGTGTCTGTTATCAGTTAAGTTCCTCGAAGCAGGTTTTCGGATGGCACTTATCCACCCTTCACTCAGACACAATCGGAGAAGTTAGGTGTTATGTAGCCTGACTGGTGCGATTGGATTAGTGAATACACCTAGCTTTTGCTCATTTTAAGTCACAATCACTCGCTGACTAGAAAACGACAGGAAAACGTTTTCTGCACGAAGTGTCCTCCATAAAATTTTTACTACTCTCCAGAACAAGATTCCACTTGACAAGTCACCATCAAATAAATAATAATTTTCTCCGCGTAGTGTCACCGTCTCAAATTTTTTCAGCTAATTTATTCATATACTTCTTTATAAAAAGTACAAAGGTATGCCATCGCCAACACGGAATCACGATTCTATTCAAATTTGTTTTATGAATGCTCTTCCGAAAAATTCCTTCTTGTTCTTCAAGAAAAAATTTCAACAGTATTTCGTCTATATTAAGGTATGCATTTGTATATTTATACATCCTTAATTTAATTCTGTGTTGCTGTTCAGTAGTCTATTCACGACCCTGCTAACAAACTCATACTCTTTACTCTATTTTCCTCCTATGTTTTTTGATGGTAACATTTGTGCATATGAAATTTATAACCAGAACAAATAAAAATTCATTTTAAACATTAATCATGAGAATTCTCTGGTATACATTTATCATTCTTATTCATTATGCACTGTTGACTTAATGCTGTATTCATGCATCATTTCATATACACATGTTTCGAACTGTAATCTCGTAAACACTAACACACAGCTTTTCATCAGAATAGTTTAATGTTATGAGAAGTATTAGGTTGTTAATTAACAATTAACTCTTGAGCAGTGTAGACATATAGCCGTAGGACAAGTTATCGTAAAGAATACTGCTTTTTCGCTTTTCAGTATCTTAATATAGACAGTTACATTCGAATAACCAAAATCTCACTGCATGCACTTCCCAGGTAAGTATCCCTGAAACACTCCTGTAAGATGACAGTGAGGAAGATAAAAACCTTCATTAGGTAGTTTAGATTTATTGTTAAATAAAATTGATATACTGTCAAACTTTATATGTTATTATTGTTCCCTTTAGTTCCTAGAGGAACACAGGGCTTCAGACGCACGTCTCCATTGCGTTCGGTTCCTCCAGTTTGTGGGAAATCAGACGTATATCGTTGGCGAAGTACGGATGCTCCAAGTTTTTTGTGTGAGTCCATTTTAGGCCTGTTTCCTCGCTGCCCGCTGTCTGTCGCATTATCCAGCCTACTGCGGTCAGGAAAATCATTGGAGATAATAGGCAGCTAGCTAGCCTTGGTTTACTCCCGTCTTCACTTCGAAGGGTTCTGTAAGTTTCCCGCTGTGGATTACTTGGCATGCAGCATTTTCGTACAACTGTTGAATGAGATGTATAATTGTTGGCGTAACGCATTGGTGGTAGCGAAGTAGTTGCCAAATCACCTCTCTATCGGAGCTGCCTGTCGAAGGCTTTTTAAAAGTCGATGAAGTTGAGTGAGGTGGAGAGGTGATCCATACTGTTTCGATTTGATCGATGCATGATTTGTTTTTTTTCATTTAGGGTGTGTTTGATTCTCTCCAGGATGATTCGGCTTAGTATTTTGAGTGAGATGGACAGGAGCATAATGCCGCGCCAGTTCTTGCATTGACTTAAGTCTCCTTTATTTGATAGTTTGAACAGGTAGCCTTTCTTCCAATCTGCAGGTACCTTGCCCTCTTTCCACACCTTCTCCAGCAGTGGTGTCATCAGGTCCTCTGATTTCCTACGTAGTTGCCAAATCACATTGTCCTACGTCTTTCACTTTCCACTACGCAAAGATCATTGGAATAAACGTTGACGCTACTTAATTATAGTAAGATTTGAATAGTAAGATTGTTTTGTTAAAATAGGGGAAAATTTAGGAACACAACTCACCTTACAAAATATAGAGACTGCAGCCAATCCATTTGGTTTAGAAAGAGCACTGGAATAATTTGGATATAAGTCGAAGTTGAATGCGTACAACTGTAACTGAGAATAGTAAGAAATAGGGTAAACAAGGCATAGAATTATTAAAACAACTTTCATTAGGTATAACAACTAGAGAAAAAACCAATATGTGATCAGGTTGAAATTCCCCTCTGTATACCTACAGTGTTGACAAAAATGTAGGCGAAGGTTAGCAAACTGAAAGCACATATCTCTTCCAGTTTCTGATCCTCTCATCTCTAAAAAATAAAAGAATCATTCGCTTTCGTTTTGAGACACTTTCAAGAATGGAGCATATCACCGTAAAATAATGCCATGGCAGAAGTTAAAATCATGGACATATACTGGAATAACCATTATTGTTGTGTTGTACCTAATTAATTGTACGAGTAGTTGTTTGATCAGAAAGGAGGTCCAGTTTTTCTGCTTTCCACTACCAAAATTTAGTTTACTGTGATACAATTAAGGCAAGTGGCTAGCATCTGTAAAATAGAAATTGATTGATAGCTGCTGAAAATAATACACACAACTAGGACTGGAAAGAGATAAAGTTCAAGGTCATTCATAACACCTATGCTTTCGATATTTGTAAACTTAGTGACGGCTTTTTACAGGTAAAAATGCCAATTATGTACTAGAAAGGAATAATCATAAAATATGTTACACAGAATATGATTTAAACCTTTCCACAACGTCACCAGACTTTGGCGGCAGACGTACTCCCACATTTATTTTACATTTAACTATTTTCCAAGTTCTTGAGACAACTGAAACCTCGGCTGCTTGTACTCTAAGGCCTATACTTAGTGTGTGCTCTATTCTCGAGCCCTTGGTGAAATCCGGCCACGTAGCTCCATCAGAGTCGTCTTTCAGTATAATCTACAAGGTGAGTCAATGGTACAAAGGGCGTTAGGTTTCGGCTTTTGTGTATTGAGGAGGCGCTGGCAATTTGTCAATACAACCCCGAACTCTGTATAGAGAAATAGTTTGTCCAGTCACTCATCCTACCTTGGTCTTGACCTCTTCCCTGGTCGATCCCTGTAAAAAAATTTTAATTTTTTCTTTTGTTTTTAATTTTCAATTTTACTTTCAGTTTGTTTTTGCGCTAATAATTAATTCACTATTATCAGTCTCACATGCTCTTTTTGTACATTTTCACTCCCTCTTTACAATTTTTAAACTGACATTCAACTACCTTTATTCTCACTCAACAGCAATTTTAACCTTTCCGAATTTCTAACTATGTCCCGTTGAGTGCCACATAATTTACAACTCTTATTTTTTACTTCTAAAGCCACTTTCAAATAATTATATCAATTATGTCACCCCCTGTTACTCAGTAATATACTACTGTACAATTTTGGTAAATATAAATACGACCGTATGGCCTCTGAAGATGATCTCGTCGATGAAGAAAATTTTCTTCGCTGAATTTGTCATTTATTTTCTTCAAAAAATCATCCATTGTTTGCATATTATTTAAGCAACACATTTTATTTATTTAACTTATATTCAGTGCGTCGGTGGCATAGCGGTTAGGACACTCGCCGACCATGCACATGGTCTGGGGTTCGATCCCCGGACGACGCACTCCTTTACCTCGCTAAGCCAGAAGTAATGCTGGTGAAGAAGAAAGGTTGGGCATGAGGCTAGCAACCCTATCCTGTAAAATAAACGCTGCTACAGAAACTTCAAGCCACTAGCTTGAAGCCCTATGTTCCACGGGGGAACATGAAGGAAAAAAAGAAAACTAATTCAAATGCACAGCTTCATAAATGAAAATTAGCCAGAAAGTCTCCTCACCAAATCTTTTCCTCCTTGTACAATGAAACATGAAATGAAGATGTGTTACTTACAAGTGAAAATCATAAGAAATCCTGAATAATAGAAAAGTTTCAAAAATGTATGTCTTCTCTTGATCTGAGGATAGTGGTAAACCATAACAGTTACCGTATTCAATTTCAAATTATGACAATGAACTGAGACGAAATGTATAACTATTAAAATATATGCGTAAATTATAACACTACAAAATACTTGTGTTACCAATTATTATTTTATTTAGCTTGTAATTGGATGAAAATAACAAATTTTGTCCTCTGTTTCCTATTTTATCACTTTTCTTCAAGCATACATAACACGACCTAAATCACTTCACTTACTACCAGAAATTACCACTCCATAAATAAAATTTTTTTGATGGACTTTAGAAACCCAAACTAAGCCAATCAACAAACATAAAAGCGACAATGAGTGGATAATTAGACTCATACAGAAGTACTGTGAAAATGAGAGCACAGAATACTAACGAAAACAAACTAATTTTCCTGAGATAAAAGAATTCAGAAATAATGAAGGTGAACAAAAAATTAGATGGCATATATAAATTGAAATACTGAGGATATGTCGAGTCTATAGGCTTGATCTATAGCACTAAAAGTTTATTCAGTTACATAGTATAATATAGACCTATTATGGACTCCTAATAACACAAAACTGTGTTTAGCAATGCACACGTACTACAAGAAGGTGGCTCATAAGAACAGAGGGACATTCACACTACAGTTGTCCAGCACGTTCCGAAACGCTTGTGCCTCAGAGAAGCCACTTTAATGCTATGTCTCATCTTTATTCCTTCACGTTCCCAGTGGAACATCGGGCTTCAAGCTAGAGCCAGCTTGAAGTTTCAGTAGCAGTGTTTATTTTTATAGGATGGGGTTGGTAGCCTCATGCCCAACCTTTCCTCTTTACCAGCTTTTATTTCTGGCTTAGAGAGGTAAGGGAGTGTGTCTCGTCACCCATCCTGTGTATATGCAACCAGCTGGACACACCGAAATTGCTCAAAGGGGCAAATGAAAACCTTTTTATGACTGACATTCACTAATGAATTCGACAGTCATTGAATAAAGCCTGAGTTCCGATTTCAAGTGGAGGCATTTAGTTATTTTATTTTTAACTAAATTGGAAATTACTGACTGTTATATCCTACCTGTTCAAAATTGTGAATCTCATACTGCTGATATTGTTTTTTCTTTTTTATTCATCAAACTTCACTTTTATTTTCATTTTCCTTCATACTTATTGATGTTCGTTTATTAGGGAGTTGGTTATCACTTATCTTGCCCACTCTTCAGTTTTAATGGTCATTTTTATGATTACGTGACCACTTCTACCCTTAAATCGGTGAAAATATGTCCCTTTGTATTATAAAAAAAATACCTAAATCATAATTCTTCTTACTTCCTGTACATTGTAGACACTGCGCCTATCTTCATTGTACTCTTCTTAAATGAAATGATAATTAAATTCTGTAGTGAAAAAACTACATCATGTTATATCCAGGTATTCACTTTTATGTAGGCTACAGTAATCCTATGAAGTAACGAAAATTCTACCCTTGTTTCAGGGACTGCTTCAGTAGCTTACAAGACAAGTTAAACGCTAAAAGTAAGTGTCGACAAAACCCTCGGTATCGCCCTGTAAAAGGTTCGAAATCCGCTACAGAACCGCATAATGTGTAACCCCATTATTAACCATTTCCTTAGAATGTCCATATATGAACAGACTTTGCGTTGCGCAAATATGAAGTAAGTCTTCGTGGTGTACAGGCAGGGCAATAAGGAAAGTAAACAGACCACTAGCAGTATGTGATTTGAATATATCAATCTTTAAAAATTAACAGAGAAATTCAAATAGGTATGACTACATTCATAAACGGATACAAATGAATAACTATCAGAGTCTTCATGACTGTTTATCTGTAAAAAGAAATATCGTTCCACGTCCTTTTTCATTACTTTGACTAGCGTATCACCCGCATATCTCCAACAGAATTTTAATCACAACGTGAATGGTTTCAGGACACTTCCTGTCTCCACATTCGTTAATATCTCTTGTTGTTGGTGAGGTAGATCATCTCAGCAGTATACTTTTCCTTCAAATGTGAGACATCCTGTCTTAAAACAGAATTCTACTGCTTTCACTATACTTTTCACGGATACCTGAGTTATTTCATTAAAATCACCATTTTAACTATTTTTATTTTTACTTCGCATATAAAACTTTTTGCTCGATTTTCCTGTGAAAGCTGTTTACATTAAAATGAACTAATACTTCTACACCTATTTTAGTATCCTTATTATATTTGACTACTTTAGTTGAGGGTTCTATTCTTGTTCGCGAAGTATAGTAAGCTTGTCAGAATACAGTTATAAACAGGAGTGAAAGAAACCTATTGTGCTAATCTACCGGCTAACACTGTACATCAAACATCATAATCACCCTGAATAAGACTGGATAAACACACATAGTTAACCTGATGTCAAGAAGGAAAATATAATTTGAAAGACAGTTTTCAAACCATTCAAAACAGCTTTTGTTTCCTGAAGTGCAATATAGATACACAAACGGAAAGACCGATGACTGAATCCTTATGCAGGGATTTTACCGCCAACACTTGCAACGAATTTAACTCTGCACAAGTGTAGACATCATGGGATAAAGCAATAGATACAGAAAAACGACTAAGTATAAAATGACTGCCTTTGTCAGTGTGTGAATAAGAAACAACTGGTATAATCATGAGTAATAGTTAGTTTGTAGATTAACTTTGCATTTCCCTTTGATTGAATATGTAAGACCGGAATGTTTAAAGCAATTAGTTCCCTTTATGAATTTCGACAACACAATAAGTAGACGTAGTTTATCTGAAATGTGTAATGTATTGGCGCAACACATTTCAGAGATTCTGATCACACACGTACTTGTCATACACAGTTTATATATAATGCAAGAAGGCATGAATAATTACAATACAGGTCAGATTGTATACAGGTCAAGGTCACAAGTAATGGGTAGGGAGACACAAAAGGTTTGGGTAAGAAAGAGAAAAAGAGAAAAACAAGACAAAGAAGGGATTGAAAATATTATGAAGTAAACTGGTCCTTGGTTCTAAATTGGATTACCAAAGCAGGTTTAAAGTGATAACAAATAACTTTTGGACACATAAGACAGGTTTAAGTCTTTTTATGGCTAAGGCTTCAATGAATTTAAGTATGTGGCCCAACCTTGTTTCATATATCGGCTTAAAGGCATTGTTGAAATCAACCTTATGACCCGTCTTTATAATATGCTTCGCTATAGATGATGTTGGATATCTATTTCCGAGTTCACTTGTGTCTGCCGACTTCATTTTTTGTTGCAGCCACTTTGGAATGTGTTCTGTAACCCTAACCTGCAGAGACCGATGGGTCCTCCCTGTGTACGTGTCTCCACACATACATGTAAATTGTTAAACACAGTGGCATGTGACACCATCCTTCGGATAATGTGAGGGTTTACAGGACAGCATAGTTTTCGTGACCTTGTGACCTTGACCTGTATTGTAATTATTCATGCCTTCTTACATTACATAAAAACTGTGTATGACAAGTACGTGTGTGATCAGAATGTCCGAAATGTGTTGCACCAATACATTACACATTTCAGATAAACTACGTCTTATTATTATGTTGTCGAAAGACCGGAATGCTCTTCCTCACGTGACATGCAAGTTCCCACCTAGTACAGTCGCTTCAACGATGTCTAGGGATTAATGTGAAATTATTTCCGTCAGTCGTGGGTAGCAGTGTAATCCATAATAAGCATTCCGTCGTATTTCAGATTTGTCAGCTTCATATACATGCAATCCCAGTGAGCCATAGTGTTCCATCTGGGACGGAAAGCTTATGCCCCTCCCTTCAAACGTGAAAGTATTATCCACTAGGCCACGAGAGCCACCACAGTTACCTCCTCTGCAACAAGTAAGAGTTATTATTTGTTTTGCTTTCGTGTCGTAGTGAATAATGCTTTGGCGTTTGAGACGGTGGATTGAGGGTTCCAGTCTCAATAGGAACACAATCACTCATTTGGAATGCAGGTACACCAGATGAAAAATCCGAAACTGGACACATTCTGAAAAGCGCTATTAGTCAGCACGACTCAAAATAACTTAGCAGATAATAATGTTGCCCAAAATATTGCCAGTGTTGGAACTTATCATCGAATATAAATACCCATTAAGTATATACTCAAAATAATTTCATCTCTTATTTGTTGAATCCTCTAATGTTTTTATCAGGTATATTCAGGTACATATCAAGGATTGTCATTAACGGAAACTTATGAAAAATTCATGTTCTTGACTTTTACGCAGTGGTATAGGTTCTACATAAATAAGTATAAATATAATTAATAATTACATTGGAATAAAATAACATGCATTTATTTACTTTTGAACGGTTATTATTTATTTATTTATTCATCATTCAGATTTTATACCCCTGAAAGCAACCCAAACGAACAAAACAAATTCATAATAATCATCTGTTCTGAAACGTTTGACTTATTCTGTAGGAATGGATTGTGAGTCAATGGCACAGAACATAAATATTCAGTACAGTAAACACGATATTTATTTATATCACTGTACATGTTTATATCCATATGCCTTCATGAAACACTTTCAATAAAATAGCCTTGTTCTTCATCCTGCTCAAAAGTATTTTAAATGTTTCAAAACATGAAACATATTCTGATACAAAAAAGAGATGGTGCCACTACCATAACAACATAGTGAATCACTTATAATATGATGTAATTTGGTGGGTGGTGACTAGCAGTGGAATCCAGGTAGCGCATTTCGTCTTATTTAGGACTCGTCATTTGGATATACCTGCAACCCCAGTAAGTGAGTAAGTGAGGCTCGAACCCAATACCCATCGTTTCAAACGCAAAAGCGTTATCCACTAGACCACTTGGCCCACGAGGGTCACCTGTTGTTCAACAGCTGTCAGTTATTATTTAATTCGATTTAGATTTGTCCGTTGATTGAATGCACCGAAATGTTTGGCGTCTCCTGACATGACAGCTGGATTCCACCGCTAGTCACCATCCAACAAAATCACTTCAATCACTTATTATGTTTCATATCTATTCAATTGTTCTTGATTACGGTGTCAAGAAATTAGGGAAATAAATATTTTGAAGATTGAAATGGCCAAGCCTGATAATTTCAAACACAAAATTATGAAGAATGGTTACTGAACAAAGAATATTCTTTTCGATAACTTCTTCTTCATCAGGCTCTACAGTTATATATGCATAATAGTGAATGAATTAGTGTTATTAACAACACTAATGTTTAAATAATATCGGATCAATAATGATATTGATGGATTACAGTTGCATAGCATCAACATAACAACATATTGAATATCAAAAAAATTAGAAAAGATAATAATAATGAAGGCCAGAGCAGTAGAAATGACTGGACTCGCTTCTTCTGCACACAGAACACAGCTTGTTTCAGGCAAATCGCAATAGCCTCTGCTGTTTGAAGTATGTGGTACCTGGATGCTTTTGGCAATTTATTTGGTACCCGGAAGATGATGAAGAAGGACTCGCCAATTCTGACTTTGTTGTCGCTTTGGACCAGGTAGTCTAATATTGAACTGTTGATGCTTCTCACTACACCTTTACTTATTCACACTGGCAGATGTTTCCCAGCACGAAACCTCAAGTTCCTAGATCAACGGCCAATATAACTCGCTCTACCAGCACAGTAGAAGCGGTAGATACAAATAGAAGTGGGGAATCACCACCGGTCGTGTAGGAAATAAAACTTGTAGTTTGCCAGTATTAAAAGTTCTTTGAACTGATTCCCTTAACTTCTTAATTATTTCGCTAGGTATATCACCCTTGAATTGCAGTCGTATGTATAAAGGCTTTCTATTTAGGGATAGTGAATAGTCCTTTTCAACTTTCTTAGTCATATGTTTCCTGATGAATTTGTTTGGACAGCTATTTTCAATCAAGGTATCATATACTATCCTTAGTTCATCTTCAATTACCTCTTCTGAGCACATAGCTCTAACCCTGCGGCTGAGAGTCCTTACTAAATATATTCAGTACCAAGTAGCGAATGACTGTTGTTTATACATATAATAACATTAGTTTTCACTTATACTCTTCCTATTTTAAAAAAGCGTATTTAAAAATAGCCTCAAATTACCCAATCATTGAGAACACTAACTGGCATATCAGTAGTCAGAAAAGGGAACTTTAATTCTTATTGGCTTGTTTCTTTTAAAATAATGAACTATGTAACGACATCTAATTAAAAACATGCATCATTATATACTTCAAATTAAATGAAATAATACCTCAGCCGGGAAAGCAACACCATTAATCTGATGATCTGAACCACGATTTGATATTGAACCAAATTTAATTAGGGCCCCGAAGAATTTGTAATCATACACCAGTGGTCCTCCACTGAATATAACCGATGTTGTAGGGTCGATGACTTTCACTTGTAAATCTTGGCCTGTGTTCACTACCTCCACGTCAATCTAAAAAGTATGAATTGTTTAAAGTTAATTGCTTTAGATATTTTAAGTGAAATGTTATCAAAGGCTTCTATCAGATGATTTCAATTTTTGTTCTCATCACCTCTCTGATCCAGAATTTTAAAAGCCTCAACCTTTTTGAAACACCTTTTGAATTACGTAAAAGGAAGGAGTTTAAAACGACTGTGATCAGTGTCCATGTGTCACTCACGAGGCGTTCTAAAATGAAGCAGACTTACCAATTAGCTGAAGACATTATTTAGAAGCGCGATAAAAGCTTTGCAAACCACTCATCCTGATATGCGAACCTATTCACAAAAACACAGTTTGTTTGATTTTGAAAGCATTAGTCGAATTGTCTTAATCATATAGCACTACTACCTAGAGTTATAAACTTTGCTGACCATATGCATTTACTCTATGTGATTACTTTTCGCACTTATAGCCCGATAACTAGGACCTATTCCAACATGCTGATGACTTGAGTACCGCTGTACTGTCTCAAGTGGGACATGATTTCTTATAGAACACTGTTTCCAACCGTCCAGCATTTATAGAACTTTCTCTTCTTATTTGATTCTTAATTCTTTCTGAAATGTAGTTATAGATTATTGAAGCTCACTTTCGTTTCAATAAGATTTCTAAATCCAGATGCGCATTTTAATTTACTCAAAAAATTGCAGATATATTATTATTATTGTTTCCCTTAATTCCTAGAGAAACATACGGCTTCAGCCGTGCGTCTGCAGTGCATTCGGTTCTCTGCTAGAGTCTTCACCTGGCTCCAAGTCTCTCCACATGTTTTCATCTCTTCTTCACATGACCTCCTCCAAGTCACCCTTGCACTGACGACCAACTCGCCGCCTCCCTTTCAGGTTCCACTCGAGCGATGGCTTGTCTAGTGATGTCACTTGATGGTTTCCTCAGAGTATGGCCAATCCATCTCCATTTCTTCCTGCATATTTGTTTCACAATCGGTTCTTGGTTGGTTCGCTCCCAGAGATCTCCGTTGCTGATCTTTTCTGGCCATCTGATCTTGAGTGGTATTGAGCGAAGACAACTGTTAATGAAGGTCTGCAGATTGTTCGAGATGCTCTTTATGACGCGCCAAGTCTCTGATCAGTATAGTGAGTAGCACTGATTTCACACTGGAGTTGAAAATCCGGATCTTATTTTTGATGCTGAGTGCTGTTGAACTCCACACAGACTTGAGAGTAGTGAAAGCTTGTCTTGCTTTGATACCCTCGTCAGTTCCGCCTGTAGTTGAGACGATGCTTCCAAGGTAGGTAAAAGGGGTTGTTTCTTTCAGGTTCCTTCCATTTATGCTGATTGTTGTCTGTTGTTGTTGCTGTTGGTGGTGTTGCCCAGGAATCTTCATCACCTCTGTTTTCTCTATGTTCACCTGAAGTCCTATCTTCTCTGGATGCTTCTTCTGCCAACTTGTTGCTTTTCGCTTGCATATCTACCAGTTTGTGGGAAATCAGACATATATCATCGGCGAAGTCCAGATCCTTCAAGTTTTTCGTGTGAGTCCATTTTATGCCTGTTTCCTCATTGCTCGCTGTTTGTCGCATTATCCAATCTACTGCAATCAGGAAAAACATTGGCGATAGTAGGCAGCTGTGTCTTACTCCTGTCCTCACTTTGAAGGATTCCGTAATTTTTCCGTTGTGGATTACTTGGCATGCAGCAGATACATACCTCACCATAAAAGTTTCAAATGGACTACAATAAATAAAAGGAAACAGTTACTTCAAAATCCACGAAAAAGATAAAGTAATTAAAACTGTCTTCAAACAAAAGTTAAACCAGCCTGTGTATCTGCCCCCAGTATTTTCAGCGGTGTTAAATTGGGATCAAATAGAATTTGTTCTGTGGAGATACTGACTGGAGATTGCATTTTGCCCTGATAGCAGGCTGGCCAGACATCATTAGCAACAGCCATAAATGCAGTTTGCCCCCAGTGACTTGGACCTTAACAGAAATAATAAACAAAATACTAAATTGTGAAGAGTAAAACTTGAGCGATTGACATTTTCACAAAACATTATTCTTATTATTAGACTTATCCGGGAACTACATGAAGTACACATCTGAATTAAAAGTGACAGTGATGTAGATGACGATAGTCTACACCTTAGAAGTAAAATTAAAACCCTAAAAGATCTTTTAATCGCTAACTGAGGTATCCTCCAAGGTAATGACCTCTTAAAAAAAATAAAGGTGGCAGCCTAGCAACCATTCTTATGAAGTCGTAGAGTATATTCGTTAATTAAGACTGCGACATACTTGATGAAATTCTCTTCAAGCAGGTATTCCTTTAGAGAAGAGTTCTGGTTGACACTGAACACACCATCTTATTGTGGTTTAAAGGCTGTGTTATATAGAACAGGAGCATATCTGAGAACATTTGGACCATAGTGTCCGATCAGTAAACTCCAAATAGTAACCACCGTTTTAATGTCATTTTCGTTTAAAAAGAGTTGTTTGACAATCTCAGAGTGAGCCGAAAACGAATCAAAACTAATACGATTCTCCATTGCAGAAAATATGTAAATAAACCCATACCTGACAACATACTTCCAATTCAACAGCCAAATATATGAACAAGTTAAAGGAACACCTATGGGATCGCCAATATCAGGTTCGATTACAGAAGCAGTGATGCAAAGGCTCGAAAACATAATCCTACCAAAGATCAAACCGAAAAATTGGATACGTTACGTAGATGACGCATTTGTAGTAATCAAACAAAACAAGTTGGATAAAACTCACAACTTAATAAACAACGTCTTCAACGACATCAAATTCACAAGTGAAGAGAAATCCAAGAACAAAATCCCATTTTTGGACGTCTTAGTCAAGCAAACAACCACAGGAGAATTAGAAACTCAAGTTTATGGAAAATCAACTCACACATATCAAATACTGAATTACAACACCAGTCTATTAACACACAAAAGGAATTGTGTACAAAAACTATTCAATAGATCCAGGACTCATTGCAGTGCTCCCACCTTAAGGAAAACTGAAGAAAGATATCTCATGGACGTTTTTCAAAAGAATGGATATCCATGGAATGTCATCGAGACATATACCCCCAGGCCAACCTATCAAATCAATGGCCCTCAAGAAAAGCACAAAGAAAATCGCCCTACCATATATAAAGGATATCTCAGAAATCACTGCAAGACTCTTCAAACCTTTAGGAATTGACGTCACACACAAGCCAACAAAATCACTTCACTTAGCTCTATGTCAACCAAAAGACTCAAAAACGAAAGAAGATCAAAACCAACATCATCTACAAAATAAATTGTAACAACTGCGAAAAACACTACATTAGCCAAAGTGGACGTCCCTTTCGTCTTCGTATGCATGAACATAAGCTAGCCGTCAAAAGACATGACATCCACTCCCTCATGTCACTAAATACAGCCAACTACGGATATCAATTCGATTGGGACAATGTTCATATATTAGACAGAGGAAACAACAAAAATGCTAAAGAATTTTTTAGAAGCTTGGCATTCCAGTGAATCATCAATCAATAGACACATCGACGTAGACAAAATTTATCAACCGATAAGAAAGAAACCTCACACACAAAGGGTCAAAGTTCAAGTCAAAGAAACAATCAGTTCCAATACAAGTGACCTAGAGGTTGTGAAAACACACAGAAACAACCATTCACGTTCAAGGTCACCAGGAGAGATGACTTATAAACTCATGGAGAAATCTAAAAGCTCACTTCAAATTGAAGTATGCGCTGAAGATGTTGCCTAATAAGTAGGCCGATGAAAGCTTCGCAAATAAACCATCCATCTCAAAGAACACACAACAACATCAAAACCACCCACTTGAGCTACAAATCTTCTCTGTTATATCTAAACTTGACTATTTAAAATTGAACTATTATGAAAATAAACTGAAAAAGATCAAATTACTTTTCAACAGATATTTAAAGTATCTATTTAATGTTTTACATTGCTAAAACGAGAACATGACGTATATTTGTCATACTGCTGATGAACTGATACATCATTTTCAAATGAATTGACAGTTTTTCAAATTCTACGGACTGACTTTGCTATCAACAGTACATATTTTAGCCAAGTTAAAGTATAACCAGCCTGGAATACTAATGCTTCATTTGACCTGAGTGCATTCTAGTCGGGGCTTACCATTATTATAGCGCCAATGTGAAAGCCATTCACGAATTAAGGTGTGCATTTCATCCCGATCACGTTTTTAAGTACTGTTTGGACAGTGTGCTCATGGCTCTTTAGGGTTGGGATTAGAGTTATGGCTAGGACAAGGATTATGATTAGGGTTAGGTTTAAGGTTAAGGACACAATGAGGGTTGGGTTCTGTGTTGGTATTAATTACTTTAATTAGTTTTATCATCCAAATTTTCCTATTACGTAGTAGTAGATCCTCTTACTGGAAGACATAGTAATTCAATCCACAGCTTTTGGCAGGATTGCAAAACAGGCTTAGCGCGAAAAATGGGTCACAAAAAAGCTCATCTTCTGTCACCCCGATGAATACATGTGCTGAAACTGACCTAGCTTTCAAACCGATACTCCATATTATAATTGAGCGCTATCATTATATCAGACAGAAATATCCTGTTTTGTGTGTTTTATCATTATGCTGTATATTTCTTTCGTAAATAAACGTCAGTTTTATACAGAGACCACTGTATTTCCTGATTGTTCGACTCAAGATCATTCATGTGTTCACATTGCATGAATCGTGATACTTTAACTTTGCTCATATTTTTGTCCTGCTTCCCCTTACAATCTTTTAAAAATAACCGAAGATGACTGCTCATTGTTTTTTTCATCCCTTCACATTCCCAGTGGAACGTAGGGCTTCAAGCTAGAGGCTTAAAGTTTCTGTAGCAATGGTGGTTATTTTTACAGGATGGGGTTACTAGCCCCAGGCCCAACCTTTCCTCTTTACCAGCTTTTTGTCTATTACTGATTTAGCGAGGTAAGGTAGTGCGTCAGCCGGGGATCGAACCCCAGACCATGTGGATGGTCGGCAAGCGTCCTAACCCCTGTGACACCGATGAGTCTACTGTTTTATATCGCATATTTTATGCATTTTACATCTTTCCCACTGTTTATAAATTTCATTTTATATAAGTGCTTTGGTTTAAAACACCAGGAAAAAAATATCAAGCCTATTAAGCTGAACAAAAATCCTTCACAGACGTTTTTAAAACATCATTATTTTCAAATTCACTGATAAATACAATAAACTGAATAAGCGTTCTGAAGTTGATTGTATTGACAATAGTATTTGAGCGTTTTAACTCCGAAGGAATGATAGACAACTGGACTTCTCAACGGAAACATAAAAAATTTAATGTATTTTATAGAAACTAACAGCCACGTTATTCAGCTCTACGAATGACATTTTCACTTTCATTCATTTGTTCGGACTGTTTTAGTTAGTGTTAACGCAACTTTTACACTCTGAATCGTAAAAGATCATACAAACTGAGTTTTAGACTGACCTACAATCAGGAAAATATATAAATCTAGAAACTGCGAAGAAACTGAAAGGTGGAACCGGTTTAACTGATTATATTAAGAAACGTGTGCCACTTCTGAAATTTATTTCTTTCATCCAGCTTCTAATCTGTCGTCATTGTAAATTGGTCCTTGCTCACCAGCGTACTAAACCCTGACTAACTTATAATTAAGTGAATCCATAAAGTTTTGTAAAATCAAAAAAATTTATAGTATTTTATCTGATAATAATTCATAAAATGTCGTGAAATATTATTTTACACATTAAAGTTGAGCGTTATGCGTTAAATTCATGTATGTTAATCCAATTTCATTGAAAACATACCTCCTATAACACCTTCTTTGTAATGCCACCATGCGTCTGAGTCGGGACTCAAATCACTGTCATGCCAAAGACCGTTCATTCTCTCTTAAAATATATATTAAAATAAATCCCTATTATGACTTGTAATTAAAACTTTACACAAATGTATACGAAATTATAAATAATGAAGTGATAAGTTTAAAATATAAGAAATCAAACATTTCTTGTGATCATCATAGGGGTGAATGATATTCCACTCCAAACGACAATGGAAGCAACTTTTGTCTTAGCAGTTCAATGACACTAAGTTCACTTTAACACATTCTCGTATGTCTGACTTGTTTCAAACAAGTCAAAGTTGTGTAGAACTGCTGAACTTCCTCTAGGAACTTGATTTTTCATGCTCAATCAGGAACATCTCCCTGTATGGCTGAGTAAAGGTGTAGTGAGAAACATTAACAGTTCGATATTGAACCATCTGGTAAAAACCGCCCACAAAGCCAGCGTGGAAGAATCCTTCTCTATAATCTACCGGGTGCCAAATAAATTGCCAGAAACATCGAAGTACCGCATGCTGAGAACAGCAGAGACTATTACAATTCGCCTCATACAACCAGTGCTTTGTGTGCAAAAGAAGCAAGTTCAGCCAATACCACTGCCCTGGCTGGCCTTCAGTAGAGACTATAAATTCATGAATTTGTAATATTATCTTTCCTAATTTCTCTGACAATCAGTTTATTGTTATGCTGACGCTAATGAACAGTGATCGAATGATATTATTGATTCGCGGTTATTTAAACATTAATGCTGTTAATAACACTAATTCATTCATTGACTATAATGTGCATATAACTGTAGAGCGTGATGATGAAGTTATCGAAAAGAGTATTCTTTGTTCAGTATCCATTCTTTTCAAATACAAACAGTTTGAGGCAATTTAGATATGCTTACGAATGAATGAAAATAAGATATTTTGTCATTCAATTGTTTATGTCTTTCTAGTAAACTTCTTTTGTACAGCAGAACTATTATTAATACCAACTATACCAGCACTAAGTCTTATGTCATAACCATAAAGATGTAACTCATGACACGTTTGTTAGGTTTTCCTTTTACTGTGATTAATTAAATCGTCAATAAACGTGTCAGTCATAAATTGTTTTTGATAACAACAGCAACAATCTACTTTACTTGCAATTTTCTTTCTCCACATCTTTGCTTTTCAGACGTCTTTTTTACTCCCTGTAGCGTATCATCATCACTGGAATTCTTTTCCATGCATTGTTATTACATTCATCCTGTGTTTTTGTCTCGTAAAGGTGTAAACAATTATTCATGAATGTGTGAATGTGCTGTCAGCATGTAAAACACACACGGAGGTAGAATTTATGGGTTTGCAGACAAATTCTAGATAAATAGCACAGTCTTATATATCGTCTGTCTAGACGTCATTATCACAAGGTTTTCTGCTTCCTATTACTGTCTTTTGCGTTGTCTTTCATTCGGTATTCACTCGCCACCGAATGTAGCATTACAGTTTTCAAAGTCAACCATCAAAGTAATTTTAAGAAAAGGATTACTTTTACTGTTAAAAATTATAAATCAACAACCACACGGAATCATGGTTAATTATACGTCTGCAACCCGCCTACAGTTCACCTTCCTCTTTCAAATAAAATCCATTTCATGAGTATAAAAATTGAATGTTTTAGTTTTACGATGAAATAATTATGAGGAGTTTCCGTATTCACCTGACTTTTTTTAACCTTTTTCTCGTGCTTGAGAACATATTCCACTATGGCTAAGTAATTGTGTAGTTTATAAACCATTAACAGTTCGATACTAGACCATCTGGTGCAAACAGGCCACAAAGCCAGCCAGCGTGGAAGAATCCTTCTCTGTCATCTACCGGGTGCCAAATAAATTGCCAGAAACTTCCAGGTACCGCATACTCCAAAGAGAAGAGGCTATCGCAATTCGCATGAAACAATCAGTGCTCTGTGTTCAAAAGAAGCAAGTCCAACCAGCCACTACTGCCATGTCTGGGCTTCAGTGGAGACTATAAATCCATGAATTTGTAATATTATCTTTCCTAATTTTTATGACATTCAGTTAATCGTTATGTTGATGCTACTGAACTGTAATCTATCAATATTATTGATTCGATCTTATTTAAACAACATTAATGTTGTTCGTGATGAGGAACTGAAACAGTATGGATTAACATGGATGCAAGTGAAAAGTACAACACAAGACAGAAGCAAGTGGAGGCGTGCAGTTGAAGCCCTGTGTTCCACTAGGAACCCAAGGGAACAATAATAATAATGTTGTTCATAACACTAATTCATTCATTCATTATAATGTATATGTAATTGTAGAGCCTGATGATGAATTTATCGAAAAGAGTACTCTCTGTTCAATATCCACTCCTTTGAAAAGAAACTTTCATTGCTTAGTCCAAACCACGTGAGAATTTCTATATAAATGCTAACCACCAATTTTATGCGACAAACTTTTACCACAAAATAGACGCCTAATGCAGATAACAATACTGTTATAAACTATGTGTTTTCAACCTTTTATATTGGTGTCGACATCAGAAGCATTTTTATGATAGCATAAAATTATCTACCTTTCGATACATTTCAGCAAAAATATAGGCTGAAGAAGGAATTTATCTCACATATTTTAACAGAAAGTATCCTTAAAAAGCTTGGAAGTAAATTTATAAGTTAATTTAAACAAATGTGACTAACACATCTATTCGATATTCAAGTGTTGGTTTGTAGGGACTTTAGTTAGAGAACCATTGGAAAACCTGAGAGTACTAGATAACAGTTCCGCCCTAGTTTGGGACTCTTCATCAGTACTCACCTACCGGGGTTCGAACCCAAGACCTGCTGGTTACAAGGCGAGCTCCTATACCATTAAGCCTCTGGGACCCGATCCAATGGCCCATGAATTCTAACTTCTGTCAATTCACGACATACCGCAACCCCTAGCCAATGTCTTCGGCGAGTATTTGTCCTCACACCCTACTGGTCACGACTTCTCGCTAGAACCCCAAGTAACTACCTACCTGAATAGGGAAAGTCGCTAGTGAGAATCTCATTGATATTCAAGTGTTGGTTTGTACTGTATAAAGAAGTGACATATACTAGGATAAACTTTTTATCATGCTATCAGTTCACGCGAGCTGATGCTATCGTTTCAGAATATATTAAGTAACAAAAGTTGTTCTATGTAGACGATAAGCAACAACTCACAGACCTACTAACTAACTTTGTTGACTTCACTCCATTGAATAAATAATCTGCATACTCAGGTGTTTCATTTAGCTTTTGAGGGAGATAAAACGGCATACTTAAAAAGTACAAAAATGTTGTTTCTAAAATACTTGTGTTGCATAAGATGGATTGGCACACCTACTTATTACAACAGCACTGAAGTGACGGTAGAACAATCGAAGTGATTCGCAATTTGCAATTAACACATAATGAACTGAAATTTCTCCAAAGTTCCGTCTAGGAACAGAAACCATTCACTTCACAATATGTGGTCTGCCTTATATCACAGACGGTATTCAAAAAAGCAGATATGTATATATGACGTTAAACAATGCTGATTGATTGATTGATTATATGAGTAATTTGGTATCACTAAAATCAACCGAAAGTGCTTCGCATCCGGATCGAAGTGATCTTAACAGCTGACAGTCAGTCCGCTAGTTCTAGGCCAGCCTCACTAGCAGTGCACCCTCTTTGAATAAGCTCAGAAAGTCGAATCAGTTCAAGCTGGCTACTATTTTTGATTATAGCTTGACTCCACACCGTATTTTTGGTACAAGTATGGAATTTTCAGCATGCGATATCGATAGCCCAAATTTAGCAGGCCGACCATTGATATAGGGTGTGTGTCAGCAGGGGATCAAACCCCCGGCCATGTGCATGGTTGGCGGGAGTCTTAACCACTGTGTCACTGACACAAATGTTAATATACTGAATCAATTCCATCTTACTGATAGGCACTACTGGTTGATACTGGTCGTACCCAACTACTCATATCGATCAGTGGTGTATAGGATTATGAATTCATGCTTACGTTCTTGATTGCTACTTATAGTATCAAGGTGATCATAAATTTTGATCTGAATAATTTCCATTCCCAATGAAAATTATGATAAAATTTCACCGCAAACTTTCTAAATTACTAATCGACAGTAAATTTCGCAAACTACGAATTTTATTTAGCATACTGCCAGTTCGACCAAGTAGGCGGCAGGAATTAGAGTAGTATGAACTGATTTGGCTCTCATTAGTTGAATTAAACCAACACAACGAGCCACTACCCGTTTTCCTCACATTTACAATAAAAAGTTAGCCGAATGATTTCACTTTTAATTAACTGAATACATTGAATAATTTACCATATTATCTAGTCGGTAACTTTTTCAGCTTGCAAATCCACCTAGTTATATGCTAAATTTCCCTTATATATATTCCATAAGGACTATATTTTCGTTTCGGATGCCACTAATGTATGCAAAAATAAAAATAAGAAGTAGAAATAAAAGCATCATTACTTTTCTTATGTATAACAGACATTGTATAATTCAGCAAAAATCAGGTTTTTATGTTTATTCATTTATTTAACGCTACACTTTAGTCATCAGTGAGTATTTGTGAGTGAAAATACTGCAGCGGTTTTTTTAAAATGATAATTTACTGATACTGCATTCACTGGATATTTACTTTCACCAATTTTTAAGCAACAACTAAGAACAGAAGATCAACACAAGAATTGAAGACTACCATTCAGTTTTTAAAACGTGACTTCCACATATTCCTAGTTTTTCTGGACTGTTGAAGCACTGTTCATTTCATTTCATTATCCCTGAGCACTCCAAGTGGAACGTAGGGCTTCAAGCTAAGCTTTGAAGACTTAGTAACGGTGGCGTAGTTTTACAGGATACAGTTGCTAGCCTCATGCCCAAGCTTTCTTCTTTGCCAGGCCTACTGTTCTAACAGCTTTAACTTCGTCGACTCAAATTTACATGTATGACAAAATTGGAGATAGATGAGTAAATTAAAATTAGGACTTTTCCT